ACTGTAAGACTCCCTTTATTGGTCTGCTTGTCTTCAACAGTGAGATTCACCAGGCACCCAGGAAAGGTCTTTTCAGTGGTTTAAAAAAAAAGGGGGGAGGGGCAGGACAAAAGCTCCTCTGATTCCCCCCCCTTATAACCTCTGTTTTTTCAGCCCCGACACAGGTGTTTTTTTTTTTTTTGAGGCTTAGCTGTCTGTGTCCTTTTGTTGGTTCTTGTGAACCACCTTGAAGGTTTCGAATTGAAGGGTAGATAAGACCTCGCTTGAGTGGTTGATAGATTAAGAGAGGGAGAGCACGAGAGCACCCATTTGCTCGGCCTGTTCTCTTGAAATCTCAAGCTCTGAAGTCTCTGAAGGCGCTCCAGGAAACACCACCTCAGGCTCGCCGGAGTGAGTCACACTTAATACAGGCACCGGAGTGAGATGCTCTAGTTGAAACAAGTGAGCATGATGGGAAGAGACCCGATTCTGGGTTCTAAACTGTCCTTCTGTTGCCTGGCTGAGATTTGTGTGGAAGAGCAGGCACTCCTCTCTCTCTCAGTATGGCGTGATTTACCCTCAAAGCCAACGATGATGCTTTGGAGGCATCACTACTCCGGGATGTTTGCTGCTGCTTCCTGGTAGAACTTCCTATCACAGTTTTCTGTTTGAAATGATATTCCTGAGTAACTGTTGCAATATCCTGTATAGTGTTGCTTTACCAAAATCTTCCTGTTCAGGTGAGCCGCTGGTTATTTCTTGAAGTGCTCCCAGTTGCCTGTATCTTAAGTCTTCGGAACATGTTTTGCAGCACTGCTGAGGTCACAGTCTTGGGCACTTACTTGGGAGCAAACTCAGTTCCGTCTCTGGATGAGCCTGTGTTGGATTGCCATGCATTGCCCCCTTTCTCTCAACTGTGCTAATGTACCACTAGAACATTATTCCTGTTCTCTCCCTTGACAAAGCTTTATTGATTATCTTTTTATGGGTGACGTCTCTCAGTGGGGGCTAGGACCTGGATTTCCCAACTAGCCATGACATCACACTGATTCTTTTCAGACCTCACTCTAACTCCTGCTGAGTTAGGAGTTAGGCTCTGTGAGTGTTGGTCACCCTAAGGGAAAGATCCCCATCTGTCCAGAAGAGTAGAGGGCATTTAAAGAGCAGCAGCAGCAGCAGAAGTAGTAGTGTCCAGTGGCTGGGTTCATACATAATGCTAAGCTAGGATTTAGTGGCTGGAGTTGAAGCAAAGCCAGGAGTGGGGAGGGAAAGCGGAGAGTGAAATTTTGGCTGTACCAGGAAAAGGGGGGGGGGGGCTCACAGAAGTTGATTATCGTGAGGGAGTGTGGCCGGTCTGCCTCTAGAGGTTATGCCCAAATATTTAGCCTTTTAGCCTTGGATTTAGCCAAGAAGACTTAACTGTGAATGGTTAGGTAAAACGGAGCCTCTAGGACTCTCACTGACTCATCTCTGTTTTTGTGTAATCCACCTCTGTGCCCTTTGTTCTTAGCTGTCTAAAGCTGACACCTTGTGCCTGTAAGCATTTCTGGGACCGGCTTTGGTGGATGGGATCAGAAGTGAATTATATACGGAGAAATGCTGGCAGCACTGCTGATAACGTGAACATTGTTGTCTAAGCTAAGGCAGGGTGAACACCAGAAGTTGGAACTTCTTGATTTTTAAATGCATGTTTGTGTATATTTTGAGATATGTTGACATATGAGTATCCTGTGGGAAGCTGTCTGTTTCCATTCATTTTCTTTAGCTGCCCACTTATGTGAAATGTGTACTACTAAAAATGAGTCAAAACACTTGCTTTCTACTAAATAATCTCTTCTGTATGGAACCAGGCAGGTCAAATAGCTTGCTGGTGTGCTTTGCTCGTTCTTTACCTCAGTTGAGGATGGAGTCCAGAGTTTTGGAAGCTCTTATTTGTGCTGGCAGTTGCTCATTTTTCACCCTGCCTTCTGCTTCTCATTTAATAATGTGGCCATAGAAAAATGGGCCTGCCTTGTCTGCCCCATGGAAAATCTGGTGCAAGAACGATGGGTGAGCCTATTGTAAGCATGAGCCATGTGAATTTTCTCAGTCGTAGAATTGAGCAAACCCAACTGATCCTCCATTTGGCTTTCCTGTTGTGTGGCTGATTTGGAGTGTCCTATGTGTATAGGAATATATATACACACCTGCTGAACCTGCCTAGCATGGTGGCGTCTTTGAAAATTAGTACTCTCCTTGAATCAAACCTCCTTTCATCTAAGGGTAATGAAGCAGTTGCAGAGGCGAGCATTTTTTCACCCAGACAGAGCTTGTGACAGAGGCGGTTTCCAAGCAGCCAGCTGCAAGAGAGCTGAAGGGTTCAGCCTGTAACATGTGTACATCACAACAGGCTGTAGCACTGTCAGCTCTGCCTCTGACCTCAGCTCCGCCAGCTCCTTCCTCATCCATGTTGTTTTGGTAGCTACAATCCAGCAGAGCTGCTCCTGTGGCCCAGCTTGGTTTCTTCACCCCTTCTCTTCAGTGGTATGCAGGCTGAAGCAAAGATGAGTAATGGCTTTTTTGTGCATGCCTGTTTAAGAAATGCTCCTTTAACCTTTTAAGCCTCGATGGGTAGATTGAGCATTTTAATCTCCAGATTTTTCCATTGCATCGGAATGATGGAGCATTCCTGTCAAATGAATCACTGTTCACACACAGAGCTTTTCTTGTAAACTTGTGCCTTTTTGTCAAGACCTCATAGGACAGTGCCTCTTCTTTCCGTAAGCATTAAGGGCTCCCCTTAGGCTGCCTGTTTGGTGTTGTCTGTGGGCTAAGGACTGGCAGAGTTGGTCGGCCGCCCTGCCTGCCCTCTTGCTGTCTCAGCATACTTCATCCTCCCAGACAGTCTGTGGCAGAGATCTGGCCCCACCCGATCCTTTCTTCTGGGCCTGAATAATTCTGCTTGTCCTTGGCCCTTCAGAGCCTGGCCTCACGTAGGCAGATAAGGCCAAGCATTCTCAAGCTGGAGGAAATGGGGGGGTGGGGTGGGCAGGCATGGAAACCTGGCTCACAGAGGAAGGCTGAGGAAATCCTCTGGTGTGCCTGGCTGCTGGGGTGGCCCTTGTTTCAAGGGCTCGGGTGCCTTCTTCGGGACCACTTGGATGGGAAAAGATGTCCTTCTGCAGGGAGCTGTGCAGTTCTCTGAGTTTCAGATGACCGTTCCCAGTAGTCCCCAGGCAGCTTAAACTCTGGGGATTCTGGGAGTCGTAGTCTAAGAAGCACAGATTGGTAGAGCTCGACTTCTGAGTGGACTTCTGTTTTCCACTGAAGAATTTGCCACCCCCTCTTTGCTTAACCTTGGCACTCAGTTCCCTTCCGCAGGTGCTTCTTTGTTTGACACACAGGGCACTGCCAACTGTTCCTTGGCATTCTTTGCTGGTACAGGCAGAGGATGCCCCACTATGCTTGTGTACAGTCCTGCTGCAAGCATTCAGAAGAACACATGTCTTCATCCTGTCCTAGTCAAAGCTATGAAGCAGAAGATCTGAGAAGGCCGGCGGTTTTGCACAAAGCTTTCAGCCCAGCCCTTCGTCTCCTGGGGTGCTTCCATATGGGCAGCTCCGAACATTGCCAGAGAAAGAACACCGTGCAACAGCTTCATCTTTCGCTCCTTTATAAACCTTCTGAGTTAAGAAAACAGATTGAAGGAGGAACAGGGAAACACCAGACAGTTGGAAGCAGAAGACAGAGTCTCCTGGGCCACCTGTACAGTTTGACGGATGAGGTTGTGCTGTGGGACATGGAATCACTTTGCATCCTTTTTGCGGGCGGGCGGGCGGGGGGGAGAATTATTGGGACAAAGGACCCTGACATTCTGGTGCCCAGGAGCCTGGACACTTCTGGTCCCATCTTCAGCTCCTTGAAAGGACCTGAACCCTTTCATGGTCTTTTGCAGAGATACCCTTTATTCCACAGTGTCTTGTAGAGCAGGTTACAGCGGGCTGTCATCAACAGGGAGGCCTCTGCACGTTGGACCTGTTGCCTGCACTTAGCCTTTTTATGTGCAGGAGATACCTTGCAGTTGAGCTGAAATGCGACTTCAGAGCTGAAGAGAAACCACTGCCTTTTGTAAAGGAGCAGCAGCAGCAGCAGCAGCAGCTCTTTCCCCTTTTGCTTATTCATAGCTGGTGTGAAACCCGGCATCTGTGGGCTGGCAACACGTAACAGCAGGTGGCAGATGGTCTTTGATGTCATGGAAGGCTGTCAAGCTGAAGTCACAGCGTTTCCTCCCCAGACTTCCACTGGCAGAGGCCCTTGTTGTTTATGAGTTATTAAAACATGTTTAAAACTGCCGCTTGTCCTAATGGGATGTGAGTGTGGTGTATGCATGTAGTTAAATTGGGGCCGGGGGGGGGGAAGGAATTCAATATGTCATTTGCATGAAGGAAACAACAGAAACCATGCAGTGGAGTGGGGTGGGAGATGGGGGAAGGCATCCAGGGACTAGAGAGTTGGCAGGAAAATGGAGGGGATCCTTCCTTCAGAACAGGAATTTCAAGATCCCTGGGCACTTTTCCAGCCCTGACTGGTTGAAAACCAGCCTTAAAGATTAAATTGCTTTTAATTTTGTGTGTGTGTGTGTGTGTGTGTGTGTGTGTGTGTGTGTGTTTTGTTTCTCCTTGTTGTGGCTTTTAAAAATCTTTTCATGTTGCCTTAATTAACTCACTTTAATATTCTAGTTTTACTTACATGCAACCACTGGTGGGGGGGGGAGAGGGGGAGCTTTACCTGGAAAGTAAACATTTCCTTCAGGGGTGTGGAGGTAGTGGAGTCTACAATCTGCCAGGCAGCTGTGCAATTTCGGGCCCCTCCTGAGAGATCTGGCTTGCAGTCGTGTGAAAGTGGAGGCCCTTAAGAAGCTTCTGCCTTTGACTCAGCAGCTCTTCTTGTGGTTGGAAGAGCTCGGCTGAGAGACCCTCCCGGAACATGATCCACATGATCCAGCGGCGGGCGCCTCCTGTCCTGGTAAAAAGGCAGCTGTTTCGGTTTTTGTCCCTCCTCCTCTTTCTTCCGCAGCCACAGAGCAGAGAAGCTTGTTGCAGGTAAACGCTCCTATTGAGTTGAGGAAGAGCTGCCTCTTCCAGAGCAGAGGCTTGTTCAGGCTTGTGTTTTTGGACTACAGCACCCACACGACCCCAGGCAGCCTAGCCCCCGAAGGGAATTCTGGGAGTTATTGTCCCTTCCCCTACAAAAGAATGCAAACCTGCCCACCTCTAGTTACAACTGTGCTCAATGTTTATTTTATTTAATTTATTTATTTTATTTATATCCCGCCTATCTAGTCACTTAAGACCACTCTAGGTGGCTTACAACAAATGTAGTACAATATAATTAAAACAATTTTAAATAAGGGGAAAAACTTTAAACAAGATGGGACAAACACTAGGAGAGAGGGAAAAAAGGGAAGATCAGGAGTTGGCTGAGGGGAAGGTCTGCCAAAACATCAGTGTTTTTAATTGTTTTTTAAAAATACCCAGCGAGGGAGCCGCGTGAATGTGAGGGGGAAGGTTATTCTAGAGGCGAGGAGCCACCACCGAGAAGGCCCGATTTCTTGTCTTTTCTTTCCGGGCCTCCCTCGGCATTAGGCTCCTCAGCCTCACCTCCTGACTCGCGCGAGTGACACGGGTAGAACTTGGTGGAAGTAGGCGTTCATCAATATCAGAAGGAAAAAGCAGAGCTACAGGTCAGATATTTCAACATTCTCAAGCGAAGCCCTACTGCAGGTGCCGCTTTGGGCCTTATTTTTGTGTGTGTG